ACAACCCATGATCGTCTCTGCACTGAAACAAGCCGGAGACGACGAGCATTTTATCACTCACAGTTTCAGAGTGTTCACAGCAGTCGGGGTTGAAGTTAACCAACAACGATCTGTGCTGGATTAGCTTCACTGGAGTGAAAAGGTGACGTTAAGGGTCAGGTTAAGCGGGGATAATAAAATCAAATCAAAACAAAAAGGGTTCAAGTAGAGGTAAACGCTCCTGTCCACCGGCCAAAAAACTCCAAAACCCAACAGGTCAATACACAGATATTTGCACTGTTATTGTGGCAGCATTGTGAATGCGTACTGGCACCTACGTCCTCCACCTCCTCTTCTGCCCACAATGCACCTCAGCCAAAAAAATCCTGTGAACGTACAGTTGGTAGTAGGGATGCAGCGATACTAGTATCGGTACCGAGGTACTCTTACTCGTCCAAATGCTCAGATACCAGGACTTCTGGTCAGAGGGAGTACTCCCTCTGACCGCAAGTGCTGAGGGTGCATGGAGCCGGCTTCCTTTCCAATCAGGAAGTCGGGCGGTGGGTTATGACCCGCCTCCTGGCTTCCTGATTGGCTAGGAAGCCGGCTTCACTTGTTGCTAGGCAGCCTGACTTCCTAATTGGTCAGGAAGCCAGGCTGCCTAGGAACAAGTGAAGCCAAGCTTCACTTGTTGGTAAGCAGCCTGGCTTCCTAACCAATCAGGAAGCCAGGCGGCAGGTCATGACTTGCATCACGGCTTCCTGATTGGTCAGGAAGCGACGCTATCTAGCAACAAGTGACGCCAGCTTCCTAGCCAATCAGGAAGCCGTGATGCAAGTCATGACCTGCCGCCTGGCTTCCTGATTGGTTAGGAAGCCAGCTTCAATTGTTTCTAGGCAGCCTGGCTTCCTGACCAATCAAGAAGCTGCACGACATCACATGACTCCCCGCCCGGCTTCCTGATTGGTCAGGAAGCCAGGCAGCCTCGGCAAGTGAAGCTGCTGTTCTTTCGCTAGAACACCGGCTTCACAGGCAATCAGGAAGCCGGGCGACAGGTCATGATCCAACGACTGGCTTCCCAATAATCAGGGCACCCGGTATCGGCAAGTACCGAAATCAAAAAATATTGGTAATCTTACTCGATACCGAAAAAACGTTATCGGTGTATCCATAGTTGACAGTCACATGGGGTGGCTGAAGGGGGGCAGTAAGTTGCAACAGCAGAGCACCGATGCTGGAAGCCAACGTCATACTGGCAAGGTGCCCAAGAGCTCAGCAAGGCAAGGATGCCGGAACTGAAGGTCACACTGAGCACGTGCAGGTGTAGGTCACCTGCTTCATTAATGAAGATACATCAGGTGAAAGCTCTTGAGGACTACTATGGATGTAATATATGATTGCAGGAAGGGATGCTCTTCAAGTGCATGGCAGCTCATCGCTAAAAAAAAGAAAAAAGGAGTAACTGAACTCACCAATCTTTGACAAAAGACTGAAAAAGAGAAGAAAACCCCATATTATGAGGCAGAACCGGAGGTTCTTCTTGAAGGACTTTGGTGAGGACTTCAAAGTCTGTCTTGCAGTTCTTGTAAGGAAACTGACCGGTGGCCAACTCCACCTAGAATAGAATAAAGCATGATGAAGAAGAGCTGTGAGGCGAGATAAGACCACGAGAGACTTGAGGGTAATACAGAGTAGTGTGGAAGCAGCTCACCAATGAGATCCCGAGACTCCACACATCTGCTCGGATGTCATAGTCTGGCTTGGTGGGATCTGGCGGGTCAATCCTCTCAGGCTGAAGGAGACAAGAGATGGAAGCACTAAGAACATTGCAGGAATATTTCTCCACCTCATGGATCATCTTCTCCATTCTTGTTACCTAAACCCCACCCAGCGTACTTACAGCCATATAAGCAGCACAACCCGCGCTCCTGGTTTTGGCCTTTGAGTCCACAAGACGCCCGCTGATTCCAAAGTCGCATAGCTTGATCTGTCCGGTAGCATCCAAAAGAATATTCGAGGGTTTGACGTCCCTGTGTATCACCCCGTGTTTCTCTTTCAGATAATACAAGGCATTTACAATCTAAGAGGAGCAAAAGAAAAAAAAGTTGGGTTTGCTTGTGTTGCCTAAAATACTATAAAGTGAATGTAAGCCCCAAGAAGGACAATCTCTTGTTTGGTCCCTTTTGGGGGGAAATAAAATAAATCATTCAGAGCGTTTTGTTATATTTCTACGACAAGAAAACCTTCTGACCTTGCCAGGAATCTTGCAAGCAGATAACTTCCTGTACACTAGCACTCCTATCAGTAACATGGTTGCCAGTTATTTCTGAGGACTACAGAACACCTTTGCCCCATATAATGGAGAAGAGAAGAGGGAGCGTATCCTGTCCTAGAATGACCACGCTGAGTGAGCATTGGCAACCTAGAACAGGAAGTGTGTTTTGTTTCCCCGTTTTAGATATTTCCCTTCACTTCCTGTATTGTGGATACAACAGGAAGTGACAGCAAATCTCTTCAAAGTGAATCACCTCTTGACAGATGTCCTCGCTGGAAGATTTCCCAGCTTTCCTGCTCTGATGGCAACTCACAATTTTAGAGTTTCTCCATCAGTTCCTGGAAGAATGGCCACCAGAACAACTGGAGAGTCAATCTCCATAGCGGGGGCACCAGACGGCAATAAAAACGGGTTCTAAGCATTCCCCACTCCAATACAAAAAAGGAGGAGAATCTGGCCGACCTCTGCAGGACACCGCGCCTCCCTCCCGGGCCCCAGCTCTCTCCTCGGCACCGCCTCCCTCCCGGGCCCCAGGTCTCTCCTCGGCACCGCCTCCCTCCCGGGCCCCAGGTCTCTACTCGGCACCGCCTCCCTCCCGGGCCCCAGGTCTCTACTCGGCACCGCCTCCCTCCCGGGCCCCAGGTCTCTCCTCGGCACCCCCTCCCTCCCGGGCAGGTTTCTCCTCCGCACCCCCTCCCTCCTGGACCGCCTCGCTCCCGGGCTGCAGGTTTCTCGTCGGCACAGCCTCCCTCAAGGGGCCGCAGGATTCTCCCCCTGGACCGCCTCCCTCCCGGGCCTCATCGCCAGCACGTAACTCCACACCTCTGGTCTCAGCGGCTCCTGGTTAGTCCTACTGTGTGTATCCAAGACTGACTGTGTGAGGGAACTACAAGTGTCAGCAGTCCCTGTCCATTTAATGTTCCCTCACACATAGAAGTGTCATATAATGTACAGGGATTGCTGACACTTGTAGTGCCCTCACACACAGGACCCCAGGGCCTGAGCTTCGTGGGCCTGAGCAAGGTACATTTTTTTTCTTCTTCATTATGTCCGGCCCCCGATTTTATTCACAACCCTCGGCAGGGCCCTTAGTAAGTTTGGATTTAACACTTCTGACCACGAGCCAGAAATACACAGCAAAGGAATTCTGAAAAGCAGATCGGCTGAATTTATGAGTGGGCCCCCCAAACTCTGAGTCTATGGATTACTCACTGCTACAGTCATCTTTCCCAGAATGCTCTCTGGTATGGGACCCTGGATCCTTTTCTTCAGTTTTTCTGCACACGTTCCCATCAGCTCCATGGCTATGAACACGTCAGTCTGTCATTTACACAGAAGAACAAAAGAAGTCATTTTTTTACCACTTCAGAGTAAAAGTCAACACAAATGGCGGCATTATGGACACAGAGCCACCCCCATTAATGGAGAGGTACTAGACATCCCCCCCAATTAAAGCACCAGGGGATTAGACGCTCTCAAGTTTGTATTGCTGACTCCATTGGGGAGGTTCAACCCTCCATTTCTACTAGTGACCATTGTTATGGGAGAAAGAAAAAAGGAGAAAGAAAAAAGGAGAAATCCAAAATTTTAGAGGTGTTCCAAGAGCAAAAGATAAGGAAAAATCTTACAGTATGGACAGACGTTGTCTATATGGGGAACTCACCGCACTTTGGGAGATTTTCTCTAACTTCCTGTTGCATCTCTGCTCATGCATAAGCAGGAAACCATAAGCATTTTAAACAGCCAGCAATGGTTGTTTACATACAAACGATCGGGCAGCTATATAGTCACCTGATCGTTTGTATGTTGCATGGGGTGTGCAGTTCCCCACCTTCCGCCGGCTACTCAGTGCTCAGTTGTCCCCCATACGGGCCCGGGATCGCCATGACAAGTACTCTTAGATCGGAGGGAGAACAGCACAGTCCCAGTGTCCAATCACTGGACCTGGAAGTAATTTACATCACTTCCTGTTTCAGTCTTGTCATTTCTCTGGCTGCTGTAGCCGGAGTAGAAGAAGCTGGTGAAGCCGATCTGTGCTTCATCAGCTTCTTTGGGGTCCACAAGAGAGATTAGGGGTCTAATAGACCCCTGATGTCTCCATAAAGAGGACCTGTCACTATGTGTGCCATCACACACTTGTCAGTCCCCTATATGAAAGTTATAAGGTTGAGTGTAAAATAAAAAATATTTTTTTTTTTAAACGTTAAAAAGTTTTAAAGTTCCCCGCCCCTACATACACGCACAAATGCAAACACACGTCGGGTGTGCCTACATGCAAAAATGATGAGTGCACCACACAAGTTACATATCACCGCGAATGTCTGAGTACAAGTAATAATTCTAGAGCCATCAATCGCGGATAACACTAGATGAGCAGTAAAAGCTTATGAAGCGTGTCGAGTATTTGTGCGAGTACTAATACTCGCCCAAATGCTCCGATGCCTAGCCCGATACCTGTGCGTCCAGTATCAGGAAGCCGGGCAGCGAGTCATTACACGCTGCCCGGCTTCCCGATTGGCCAGAAAGCTGGCTCCATGCTCCCTCGTTGCTTGGTGGCGGGGGAGTATGGAGCTGGCTTCCCGGCTAATCAGGAAGCCGTGAAGTGTGTAATGACTCGCCGCCTAGCTTCCTGATTGGCACCCGGCTTGCCGATTGGCCAGAAAGCCAGCTTCATGCTCCCTCGTCACCTGGTGGTGGCCAATAAGGAAACCGGGCGCCAGATAATGACTCGTTGGCTGGCATCCCGATTGGCCGGGGAGCCGGCTCGATGCTCCCTCCTCACCTGGTGACGAGGGAGCATGCAGATGGCTTTCCTGCTAATCGGAAAGCCAGGTGGCGAGTCTTTACATGCCGCCCGTCTTCCTTAATGGGACTTTCGGTATCGGCGAGTACCGTATAAAAAATATTGGCACTCGAAAAAACGGTATCGGTGCATCCCTAGAAAACAGGTTTTTTTTGCCCCTCAATTTACTGTCTTTCTTTCTTTATATATCTTTATATAGTAAATAAATAAAAACCCCGTATTGGGGATTAAATACCACCAAAAGAAAGCTCTATGTGTCCCCAAAAAATTGTATGAAATTAATTTCAGTACAGTGTTGTATGACGGAATAAGCCGGGACAGGAAGGGGGTGTAACACCGCAAGCTTCAAGGGGTTAAAGAATGGAGAAGATATAAAAGCAAACTGGATTAAGGCCCCATTCACACTGAGCGATTTATAGCGCCGATTTCCGTGCGATATCGCTCTCCAATGCAAGTCAATGGAGCTGTGCTCGTCGCTGTCGCTAATGCAGGGCCCTTTTTTGTCGTGGATGTCGCGTCATTGCACTCGGTCCATTGCAATCATTTGCGCGAGATCGCGCAGAAAACCGCATGATATCGCACAAAATTACAATCGCGCAACAAACGCGCGATTTGCAATACGCTTAGTGTGAATGGGGCCTGACATATTGCCGATCCATCTGACCTCTGTTCCATGCCGTATACTCACATTTGTAATAAAAGTGCCATAACATTGTACTATGTATGGGCAATCGTGACTCTTCAGTACCACGTCCAGATCCATCAGAATTCGTTTGTTTTCCTCCTTGTTTCCTGATCGGCGCATTTGCTGGAAGACAAAAGAATGTTACTGAAAAAGGCGTCTGCGTTTTTGGAAGCCCACCAGATATCACCATCATATGCCTTCCATAGGTGTTAAGGAGGACCAAAGCTCCCAGGTGGAGAAGAACGGGAATGATGGAGCGATCACTGCTAGAGGATTCAAGACATAAGCGACAAGAGATTCACTCATCCCACCAGATTACACCCAGTGTAACCATTACTATTGGGTGGACGGACCCTTTCACCCCACAGCTTCGTGTCATCTTCCAAACAAAGCAAGGTCAATATGTCCAAGAACACGACCTCCATCATCACCATGGTAAGGTCAGGATGAAACAGCCCATTATTATAGGGCTGCAACAACTAATCGACATAATCGATTATTGAAAAAGTTGTCAACTTTTTCAATAATCGATTAATCGGCTTCCGATCAGTTGGCCCTGTTCACAGCTCCACACGCTGTGCGCCGCACCTCCTCCCCGCCTCACATTTCCTGCCCATCCACGATCGGCAAGGCACGCGGGGAGATGTAGTAAGGAGGAGCAGGGGTGGGGGGATGACAGCAGCTGATAGACAGGTCCAATCTCAGAAGCAAGTTGCTGGAAGACTGGTCAGGTAAGCGTGCACTTTCCCACACATGGTGCTCTATAATGTATTGCTGGGATTTGTATTTCTCTATAGCTGATGGTACATTGTGCTGTATATTATACATAGGAATACAAATCCCAGCAATACATTATACACTGTATGTATAATGTATTGCTGGGATTTGTTGTACTCCTCTATAGCTGGTGATATTCTGCATTGCGCTGTATAGAGGACTACAAGTCCCAGCAATAATACATTATACAGCGCAATGCGGAATACCACCAGCTATAGAGGACTACAACAAATCCCAGCAATAGTACATTATAAAGTGGTACAATGCTAAATACCACCAGCTATAGAGGACTACAAAACCCAGCAATAGTACATTATACAGCGCAATGCAGAATGCCGCCAGCTATTATGTACTATTGCTGGGATTTGTTGTATTCCTCTATAGCTGGCGGTGTTCTGCATTGTGCTGTATAATGTGCTTTTGCTGGGTTTTGTAGTCCTCTATAGCCGGTGCCATTCTGCATTCATTGCTGTATAATTTTACACTTTCCATTTCACTATATTGCACACCACACTATCTTTTTCTTTTTTACTTCCACCGCTCCAAGCTTGCTCCTGTGATGGACTACAACCTCAATACAAACTAGTAGTCCTATCACTGGAGCCATTTTTTAAACTTTATTTTATTGTTTATCCGATTAACCGATTAATCGAACTTAATAATCGGCTAACTAATCGATTTTGAAAATAATCGTTAGCTGCAGCTCTACATTATCATCTTTCAGACCAGCCACCAGTATACCATATACCGTATTTTTCCGTGTATAAGACGCTACTTTTTCATTAAAATGTTTACCCAAAAATACAGGGGCGTCTTATACACGGGGGGCCGAGAGGAGAACTCTGCAAACTAGTCTCACGAGTGAAACTTCGTTTTGCAGAAGTTCCTCCAATCATAAATCTTTTGTACCCGACGTCAGCTGTTGCTGGGGAGAGTGGAAGAATACTGTTATCTTGCCTCTGGAATCCGCTCTCCCCAGCAACAGCCGACGCCAGGCACAAAAGATCCACGAGTGAAGGAAAACTTATCTTGTCTCTGTAATCCGATCATAAATCTTTTGTACCCGACGTCAGCTGCTGCCGGGGAGAGCGTGTAGCCAGTGCCCAGAGCTGTAATGTCGGAGCATAACGTGATTGACTTAGGAGGTAAGTGTGATGAATTATATAATTTCAAATATTGATTTCTGAATTTTGGGTAAGAAAAGTTGGGGGCGTCTTATAGACGGAAAAATACGGTACAGTCCATACCTTCACTGCGATGACATGTCCGGTCTTCTTAAACCTCATCTTCCAGACTTGCCCACAAGTTCCGCTGCCGATTTCTCCCAAATTCTCCAAGTCGTTTATATCTGCCTGGTATTTCTGAGAACGAGAAAACGGTGAGAGAGCGGAGATTTATTACCTGCTCCGATCAAACCTTCTCTACCACCGACCTCCACCAGAATTATGACCTGACACAGTCCAAGCTCCTCTACTGCCTCATTCCATCGATGACCCTGAGCCAAAAATCGGTGATCCTCCGATTATCCGGTACCCATCAGCCTCATTACTACATGACCTTTATACTTTGAAAGCTGAACTCCAACCTTTAACAGACCAAATGCCAGAAAATAAAATCATGTTCATTGTTGGAGGTGAAACGGAGCCCAGGATACATGCTGGAGGGAGGGGGTTGGGGGGGTCAGCTTTGGCAGCCCATGGAGATGATCAGGTTGCTTTATACACGCAGCATGTCTCCAGTTTTATTCAGTGCAAGGCATATCAACTCACAGTGCGCGCATCAACATGTTGTTGTGAATAGAGGTGAAGTGTCATTTTGTGACACTTCAATAAAGTAAAAAAATTAAATAAAAATTAAATAAAAATGAAACAACTCCCCCTACACCAGTGTTATATTGACCATAGCGCACACCCACACTTGTGTGAACAGACTATACGGTGCCACCTGTTAGGGTTTAATCCTCATTTGTGCATCACTACCTAGTGAATTATTAACCAGAAACAAAAAAGCATCCAGCCGAGTCAGAACTGTCAACCTCCTTGCTTGTCCAGGATCAGGGACTAAGGATGCACCGATACCGATTTTTCGGTACTCACCGATACCAAACACTGATACCGGAAGTCCCATTAATTAGCCGGGAAGCGCCACCCAGCTTCCCAATTAGCCATCTCCATGCTGCCTCGTCACCAGATGATGAGGGAGCATAGAGCTAGCTTCCCGACCGATCAGCAGGTCGGGTGGCGAGGCGAGTCATTACACGGCACCCAACTTCCTAATTGGCCAGGAAGCCGGCGGTCGGGTAATGACTCGCCGCCCGGCTTCCTGATTGGCCAGCTTCCCGACCCATCTGGAAACTGGGCGGTCATTACACACTGATTGGCCAAGTGACGAGGGAGCATGGAGCTGGCTTCCCAGCCAGTCAGGAAGCTGGGAAGCGAGTCATTACCAGCTCGACTTCTTGATTGGCCAGGAAGCCAGCTCCATGCTCCCTTGTTTTCAAGGTGACGAGGGCACATGGAGTTGGCTTGCCGGCAAACCAGGAAGCCGGGCAGCGAGTAATGACTCGCCGCTCGGCTTCCTGATACTGGAAGTTCTGGTATCGGGATAGGCATCGGGAGCATTTGGACGAGTACAACCACTAGTATCGGTGCATCCCCATCAAGGACCCAAGGAGCGAAGCAAGGATAAACATGACCGCTCTACAGCTTGTACCTGCAAAGCAAGTCAGCAATAGCAGCCTCCACATTCCCATCGACAGAATCATAAAGAGACACGGTCACCTCGCCCATTCAGTTACTCTGCTCTATTATCAGCTATAATAAAAGTTACTCCCATAACTAAAAATTACTATGCGCTCTCGAACCAACACCAAGTAAACCGAAGCCTATAACAAAGCCCATCGTCGTCATCTCACCTGTCCATCAATCCCCAGGAAACCCGTCTGCTTAATAATTTCTTGCAGCTTTTGGTCAATTTCAGTGCTAAAAAATGACAGAAAAAGAATTAGCCTCCGTAACATCAGCACCACAAACGGTCCTACAGCCAAATGCACGCAGACACTCAGAGTCCACGGCATGCGTCCATACCCGTACAGATGTGTACATTCAGGTCAGCGCATAGCTGCGTGGAGCCACTTCCTGTCAACGAGTTGAACAGGCGGATGCACGTGGCTACACGGACCGCCTAACCCTCCTGCATGCAGGATTCTGTATGGACATGCACACTGCATGGCCTAAAACAAGCCCTCATTCATCTCTCCATCTACAGACATTGGGGAGAAAATTGGATTTTTGTACTCGCCGTAAAATCCTTCTCTCTGTGTTCATTGAAGGACACAGCAAAGATCGGACGATTTCACCACTGGGGTATACTGCCACCTGCAGGAGTAGGGCACTAGGCACAATACACCAAAAAAAACAAAAACACAGCCGAGGGGTGGCCCCTGTTGGTGGCCAACCACCCAAGTGCTTACACTGCACCAGTAAGTTGCAACAACATAAGGCAACAGCCAAACCAGGGTGGTTGCTGCGTCCTTCAATGAACGCAGAGAAAGGATTTTATGGGGAGTACAAAAATCCAATTTTCTCTTTCGTTCATTGAAGGATACACACAAGATCGGGAGGATCTCACCACAGGGACATCAACGAGTAGTTACCCAAAAAAATAAAATAGCGGGCAAGAGGAAACCACCAGGAACAGTGTAAACCTAGGAGGTCACACTGCCACCTGAGGGACCTTACGTCCAAAACTAGAAGCAAAAACATCAACTCTATAAAACTTGGCAAAACTACGTACAGGAGACCAGGTGGCTGGTTTACAAAAACTTTAGAAACTGAAGCTTGAAGGTTGGGCAAAAAACTAGGGATGCACCGATACTAGTATTTGGTATCGGTGCCGATACTGAGTATTTGGGCAAGTACTCTTACTCAACCAAATGCTCCGATACGGGAACTTTGGGTCAGAGGGAGATCTTCCTCTGACCGGCAGTGCAGAGGGAGCTTGGAGCCAGCTTCCTTTCCAAACAGGAAGCCGGGCGGTGGATTATGAGCCACCTACCCAATTGGTTAGGAAGCCGGCTTCACGTGTTATTAAGCAGCCTGGCTTCCTAACCAATCAGGAAGCTGAGCGGCACGTAATAACTCGCCTCCCTGATTGGTCAGGAAGCCAGGCTGCCTAGGAACAAGTGAAGCCAGCTTCCTAGCTAAATCAGGAACCTGGGAGGCGGGTCAGGGGGTGGCTAGGATTGTTGGCTAGGAAGCTGGCTTCACGTGTTGCCAAGCAGCCTGGCTTTCTGACCAATCAGGAAGCCGGACGGCACCTCATGACTCGCCGCCCGACTTCCTGATTGGTCAGGAAGCGAGACAGCCTCTGAAGCCGGTGTTCTTTCGCTAGAACACCGGCTTCACAGGCAAATTGGGAAGCCGGGCGACGGGTCATTATCCGCCACCCAACTCTCTGATAATCGGGGCATAATGCACCAGCACTCGGTATCGGCAAGTACCGGGAAAAAAATATTGGTATTCGATACCGAAAAAGCGGTATCAGTGCATCCCTACAAAAAGCAAGGCGCTGCCCCTAAGCTGTTTTGCTGTTTAGTGCCTAGCGTCCTACCCCTGCAGGTGGCAGCATACCCCAGCGGCGAGATCTTCCAATCTTTGCCGTGTCCTTCAATGAACGAACCAGCTGTGTTTCTCTGAAGAAAGCAGATCTTGGCAGCCCTGTATCGTATACACACAGCAGGTGTTTCTAAGCTGTTAGGCCCCATTTATAGTTGGGAATGGGCCAGAATGGAAGAGTCTCCCAAATTGCTCAGAGAGACTCCACTGCAGGTGGGAAGTGCTGTACAAAGCAATTGACGGGGTCTGAACTGTACTCTGACATGCCGCATTGCTGATGGCCGCATATAATCACAGCATGTCCAATTACATGCACAACGGCTGAGGGCTTTATCAGCCCTCCCCCCATGTTTGGGGTATCTGCCTATATGGGAGAGTCTCATCACAGTAATTCAGCTTAATAAATAGGATGGGCACTAACTGCATTGGACTTAATTGGGGATCTGACACCTCCTATACATGTACCCTAAAATCTGTAGACAATTTCAAGCAAATCTCTGCTCTGACATATAGAAATGTCTGCACACAAGTTACATGAAACATTCCAGTGTGACCAAGACCTGTCCTCACCTCTCCAAGCTCCGCTGCGTCACGTAGTTGGTTTGGGGAATGTTCAACATGTGCCGCGGCCGGACAGGCAGTGACGGGTGATGTGTCGAACTGTCGGATCGACTGTGCCCATCATTGGCGAGAGGAAGTTGTAAGGCTGGACGAAAAGAAGGTGGTACACAGAGAAGGGACAAAGATTGGGGACCAGAGATAAGCTACGAGCAATAGCAGTGCCCCATTATGCCCTGAACACCCCACTCAAAACCCCATACCTTCTCCTGATGGTAAAGAAAACCTGTCACATCATTGAATTTATCGATCTGGCCAGAGAACATATAAGAAAACACCTGGGAGGTATACATAGCCACTTCCCAATTGGAAATCAGATCTTTGCTCCCACACCAAATCCTTTAACATAACGTCCATTTCAGAGCTGAATGATAGAACTGGCACCTTGGTTTTGGGTTCTCCTGGAGCTCTGTAGAGGACTCTGTGTAGGCACCTCTAGGACGCTTGTCTTTGCGTCTCGTTTCAGGTCAATAACTTTAATCAGATGACAGATTTGCTAAGCTCTGTGCCTTATAAACTGAACATCCCCAAGTCAGTAGTTTGTGTTCCGTATCCAATACAACAAAACCCCATAAACTTGGTTACACCCCATGCAATGTGCTCTGCACACATATGTCTTCTTGTTATTGAGGTTGAAGCTCGATTTTCTAGGCAAAGGTTGATCTTGGAAGGCACAACAGTGAAAAAGGAAACAGCTCTGTAGGTTCCTTATTATCTTATGTTGGTACAGGTTCCACTGTAGCCAGAGTAAATGTAGACTTGTAAGCCTACCCCAAGCTGGTGTCTTGGATGGACACAATCACCCTTTAGTTTCAAATAGCATTTTGGGTTCCTGGTGGAAAGACCTGCTCAAAAGACCTCAGGTTTCCCTTAGCATGCTTGGCTGAATGATGACCGATCGTAGCACCATCTTCCTTCTGGACGCTCCATAAATTCCTAACCAGCATGACAACACAGCTTGGCATGAACCTTAAAGTGGAACTGTGGACAGACTATGGATATTCACTCACACATTCTTAACAAGCAGTACATAAGCTCCCAAGCACTGCCCCGTGTGTTGTCCTCAATAGTCCAACACCATTTTTTTTTTAATTCAAAGAGTAGGGATGGGTGCTCCAAAAGGAGTAGCTGCAGGTGCTGTGGAGCAATTCCTCAAATTTCACAGAAGAAAGAACATGGTTCATGTTTGCAGCTAAGCTCACCTTGTTCATTGATCTGGCAGTCTACCAGCCTTTTATTTATCGAGTTGGGGGGTTCACTGCTTCTATTATGAATTTCGAGGATACATCGCTCCATATTGTCTGCAGCCACACAGGTCAGTGAGGACTTGTTTTGAAGCTGATCACCAGTTGGTCCTTACCACTACAAGTTTTAATTGCTCCTTTTACCTAGAAGGCAAGGTACAAGGTGAATTATTTGCCCTTTTCCTTGCGGCTTACACATATTGATAACATATTGTTATCAATATGTGGGAGGCCCCTCAGCGCAGTCACAGACAATGTGGGACCCCAAACCTGCATAGTAAATTGCCATGTCAGAGAGTGACTAGCAAAAGTAGCAGCTTCATAGGACCAGTCATACAACATGGAAGCCTGTGGGAGTGAGGAATAAGGGAAGAATTTCACCCTACCCCCTAGATAAAATTCACTATTACAATGCGATTTTTTTTCACCTGACCGGAGTCCAGCTATGGAGTCATTTGAATATCCATATCCTGGCCACAGTTCTACTTTCTAGGAAGGCTTTCCACAAGATTTGTGAGTGTGTCTTAGGGGAACTTTGCCCATTTATTCAAAAGAGAACTGGTGAAGTCGGGTATTGATTTTCAAGAAGTACTGGCTCGCAGATGAGCATTCCAATCCATCCTAAAGGCGTTCAGTGGGGTCAAGGTCAGGGCTCTGTGCAGGCCACTCCAGTTCTTGCAACCAATTAGTCCAGCCATGTCTTTATGGAGATGGCTTTATGTACAGGAGAAAAGTCAAGCTGGAACAGAAAGGGGCCTTCCCCAAACAATTGCCACAAGGCTGGAAGCACACAATTGTTGTAATGCCATTGTATGCTCTTGCATTAACAATACCCTTCACCACTTAGAGGTTGTCCTCATACGTTTGGCCAAATAGTGGGTGTGATGGTCAGGTCTCCACAATCTAGTGAAGGAACAATGCGTCAAGTAATGAGTGAATGGGTATCAACCCAATCGCTAAATGATCAGTTTTGGGTAGGTGTAGCAGGTGTTGTGCATCAAGGGGCAAGACTTGAACACATCCCTTTCAATGGTTTTCCCAAGGTAGAAACCAGTACAAACATAAGGGAACACAATATACCAGTATTCTGATGATATCTTCATCCTACCTTACAAGATCACGTTTGCCATAAATGGTGGAGCCGTCTCTACCGTCTGCTCTCCAACCTTGCCCTGATTGTTAGGTTTCCCTGAGCTCATGCTCCATACAAAAAGTCTACATGCCAGATCCACACTGCATGCAACATTCCCCATCCCATGCACAAAGACAGGTGGGAGAGCGATGCCAAGCATGAGCAGAAGACTGTGGAGGAGGGGCTGTAGATACACATGAATGGGGCAGATTAGGGAGACAGTCAAATGAATTTAAAAGGGGATGCATGTTAAAGAGTGACATAAGGGGAAGTTAGCTGCGGCTGGAGCAAGTAAGGAGTTGAAAAGGGTGATCCGATACCTGCTCGCTGGGATGGAGCGGGCGTGGGGCTTAGAGTGATGAGAATAACTGGGGGGAGAAATAGGGGGGAAAAAAAAATCAACATAAAATACAAAGCAACCCAGGAGATAACAGGAGACAAGAGGAGATCATGGTCTGAGGAGGAGAAAGGACATATGAACATGAGAACACAGGAGTAAGGAGTAACGTGGAAGGGACGATGACTGAAAATGAAGAACACAGCAATGGAGACTGAATGGCAGGGGAAAGGTCAAGTGAAATGGAGAATATGAAGATATAAAACACATTTCCCATATAAATAAAATATAACATTTCATCTCCAGATGAATACAATGCTGGACATACCCCAAAAGCAAGACCAAAAATAATGTCCTACATATCTTTTGTATCCTGGCTACATCAAGACCTCCTGTAGATGAATCCCCGGGGGGCAATCATGCCTTATTTCCTCCATATCATTGTGAATGCATGTCCAGGATCTCTGGCTACACCAAGACATTCTGTAGACTCTACGGTGTAGATGGATCTCCAGGGAGCACAATTGGCTGTGAGCTATGTGTGTTCACTCAACCCCCCAGGACCTGGTACACCAAAAATAATGATGGCTCATCCCCAATGTCCTGCCTATCATTGTGAATGCATGCCCAGCATCTTTTTCTACACCAAGACCTTCTGTACATGGATCAACAGGGGGAACAAGACCTGTACCCTATAGGTGTTCACTCAATCCATCGAGACCCAGTACACCAAAAACAACGATGGCACATGCCTAATGTCCTGCCTATCAATGTCCATGAACATTCAGGATCTATGGCCACACCAAGACCTTCTGTAGATGGATCTCCAGGGAGCACAATTACCCTCTGAGTTATAGGTGTTCACTTAATCCCAAGAGCCAGTACACCTAAAATAACGTTGGCTCATGCCTAATGTTCTGCCTATCATTGTCAATCCATGTCCAGGATATTTGGCTACACCAAGATCTTATGTAGATGGATCAACTGGGGGGCACCAAGCCCAGTGAGCTATGTTCGCTCAACCCACCCAGACCCAGTACACCAAAAATAACAATGGCTCATGCCTTATGTCCTGCCTATCATTGTCAATACACGTCCAGGATCTTTGGCTACACTAAGACCTTCTGTGGATGAATCTTCAGGGATCACCAAGCCCTGTGAGCTATCGGGGTTCACTCAAACCTACAGAAAATCCAACAGAGCAAGAGGCATACAGATCCTGCATAAGCTGCACGTGTACAACCTTTGACCTCTAAAGCCAGCCACGGGGTCTTGATGGTATTTAACGTGTTAACAATTTCCTCCATTTAATTAAGATTCAGAATGAAAAGAAAATCAATGGCTTCCTTTAATCGGTCTCCAAGCTGTCCAAGCGGGGGTGAGAATATACCTACTTCTCCCACCTCCCCAAGGCTCACTATGTAGAGTCCATCCTTCCATGTACCTACTTCTCCCACCTCCCCAAGGCTCACTTTGTAGAGACCACCCTTCCATGTACCTACTTCTCCCACCTCCCCAAGGTTCCATTTGTAGAGACCATCCTTCCATGTACCTACTTCTCCCACCTCCCCAAGGCTCACTATGTAGAGTCCATCCTTCCATGTACCTACTTCTCCCACCTCCCCAAGGCTCACTATGTAGAGTCCATCCTTCCATGTACCTACTTCTCCCACCTCCCCAAGCCTTACTTTGTAGAGACCATCCTTCCATGTTCCTGCTTCTCCCACCTCCCCAAAGCTCACTATGTAGAGACCATCCTTCCATATACCTACTTCTCTAACCTCCCCAAGCCTTACTTTGTAGAGACCATCCTTCTATGTACCTGCTTCTCTAACCTCCCCAAGGCTCACTTTGTAGAGACCATCCTTCCATGTAACTGCACATCTTCCCAGTTATCTCTGTAGACACAATTCTTCCATGTCCTCACCTGCCCACACATATTTCAGTAGAGACCATTCCTTCCATGTTGTGCCCAATGCTCCTTCTGTAAAGATTATCTTCCCATATACCTGCATGTCCCACCTTCACCAAGGATATTTTTTAGAGGTTATCCTTCCATAAATCAGACCATCGTTCTATACATCTGCACGTCCAACCTCCCCAAGGATATTATCGCAGAGGCTATGAACCTGCATGTCCTCATCTGCCCAAAGTTCCTTTTACAGAGACCATCCTTCCATATAGCTGCATGTCTTCCATTGCCCGAGAGCCCTTCCGTAACCACCGTCCATCCACAAACCTGCACGTTCTAATCTGCACAAATCTCTTTCTGTAGAGGTCGTTCTTCCATGTACCTTTATGTCCCACTTCCACAACGCTTTTTGTAGAGACCATTCTTCCATGTTCCTGCATGTCCTCGCGTGACCAAAGCTCCTTCTGAGGAGAGCATCATTCCATCAACCTGTATGCACTCAATACGCTAAAGCTCTTTCTATAGGAGGCCATCCTTCCAAGAGTCTGCATGTCCTCATATGCCAAAAGCTTTTTCTGCAGAGACCATCCTTTCATGTACCCCTATGTCCTTCCCTCCCCCTAGCGCTCTGTAGAATACAAACCTACCATTCTTCCACCTTCCTGAATGTCCTCAGTTTCTCAAAGTTCTTTGTGTTGATACCAACCCTGAGTCCATCATCCTTCCAAGTTCTTGCATCCCCCCCCCCAAAGCATTTTCTATAATGAGCATCCTTCCATGTATCTACATCTCCCACCTCCCCAAGGCTCTTTCTGTTATGTACATCCTTCCATGAACCTGCATGTCCTCACCTATCCAGAGCTCCTTCTGTAGAGAATAAATCTACCATCCTTCCACCTTCCCAAATGTCTTCCGTTTCTTAACATTCTTTGAGAAGATATCAACCTGGAGTCTACGCTACCAAGTTGCTACATCACCCACCACCCCAAGACTCCTCTTGTAATGACCATCCTTCCAAGTACCTACAGTTTTTGTGGAGACCATCCATGTACATGTCCTCACCACCCTAGAGCTCTGTCAAAGTCCCCATCCTCTCTACCTACCTCCATGTCCTCTCTTCCACAATTCTTTGTAAAGAGAGCAACCCTGAGTCCACCATCCTTCCACGTTCCCACACCTCCCCAAGACTCCTTCTGTAATGACCATCCTTCCACGTTCCTGCACCTCCCCAAGACTCCTTCTGTAATGACCACCCTTCCATGTACCTACACCTCCCCAAGACTCCTTCTGTAATGACCACCCTTCCATGTACCTACACCTCCCCAAGACTCCTTCTGTAATGACCACCCTTCCATGTACCTACACCTCCCCAAGACTCCTTCTGTAATGACCACCCTTCCCTGTACCTACACCTCCCCAAGACTCCTTCTGTAATGACCACCCTTCCATGTACCTACACCTCCCCAAGACTCCTTCTGTAATGACCACCCTTCCATGTACCTACACCTCCCCAAGACTCCTTCTGTAATGACCACCCTTCCATGTACCTACACCTCCCCAAGACTCCTTCTGTAATGACCACCCTTCCATGTACCTACACCTCCCCAAGACTCCTTCTGTAATGACCACCCTTCCATGTACCTACACCTCCCCAAGACTCCTTCTGTAATGACCACCCTTCCATGTACCTACACCTCCCCAAGACTCCTTCTGTAATGACCACCCTTCCATGTACCTACACCTCCCCAAGACTCCTTCTGTAATGACCACCCTTCCATGTACCTACACCTCCCCAAGACTCCTTCTGTAATGACCACCCTTCCATGTACCTACACCTCCCCAAGACTCCTTCTGTAATGACCACCCTTCCATGTACCTACACCTCCCCAAGACTCCTTCTGTAATGACCACCCTTCCATGTACCTACACCTCCCCAAGACTCCTTCTGTAATGACCACCCTTCCATGTACCTACACC